CCCCCGTGGGGGTAAAAAGGAACGTTCACATATGAAAATTACCTTTTAGCACAAAATGCATTTTTTTCCTTCTGTGTTATTGGGTTTTGTATATGTGAGTATACATCTCGAAGTATTTGTTGTTTTGTAAGAAGTAACTTATCGGAGCGAACTACAAATTATATATAGAAAATAGATATTTGTTGGGAAAGATAGTATAAACTTCCAACTTATACCAAACTACTGATTTTATATAATTTTTATATCTTTGACAATCGTTATTGGTAGATTAAAAGAGTTACTTTTATTTATTTTGTCCTTCAAATGTTTTCATCCTATTCTTTCATTGAAAATGGCTTCATCTTCATGAATATTACTAAAAACGTCTCCCTAAATAATTTCTGGATTTCAAGTATTACGTAACAGGACCTTGTCTTTATTTTTGCTGACAAATGTAGAAAAAATTTTATAAATTCTACGAAGATGAAGAATGAAGACAATGATTTCAAACCAAATTTTTATATTGAAAGGGTTATATTTTTAGAAGTGACTAATTCTGGGGAAATAAAGTTTTTGGCCTTCTACCACTCCATTTTGATACCAGCAAATGTGGGAATCTTTCAAAGAAAGGAAGGAAGCAATCAATTTTGAAAGAAGTAACTCTATAGATAGATGTGAAAGTTACTTCTTTGCATTATTTACACATCTGTATGGGAATCTTTGGAAGATTCCCACATTTTTTTGTATCAAGATGGAGTAGTAGGAAGCCAAAAACTTTCTTTTCCAAAAATTAGTCACTCCTAAAAATATAACCCTTTCAATATAAACAAAACATGCCACCGTGGACCAGCCTACCCAAGCTAAGGTGTAAGGAATCGTGCCGACAGCTGACAGGGTGATATGCGGTTACGAATGAACGAAACGCTATTAGAAATGGTTGTACACAATTAAAAATTAGTTTTGAAACTGCTGTAAATTATAGATGATATTTCAAAACTAACGAGCAGATGATTAAAATCGAAAATGATGAAATTTTTATAAATTTAGAAAACATTGGCCATGGATTGAATATGAGTATTGAATAAGAAATACAATTTTTGGTGTTCGGTGAAGGTATCGAATGACTATTTTCAAATTAATCATAAACATTTTATTTTTATTATTTTCATGTTGTTTGATTTATTGAGAAAAAGAGGGCTGGCTGATAACATTTTGTAGAGTTTATATTATTAACGTTTCATGTGTGGAGCTCGGGTTCCAATGAAGTTGCTGGATTCCATCCAGAAAAGAACCATCCGCCTAATTGAAGAAGCGAACATCACGTGCAACCTTGATAGCCTGGAATATCGAAGAAAGGTTGGAGATTTGTCTCTCTTTTATAGATACTTTCACGGGAAGTGTTCAAGTGACTTGGCACATTTGATTCCACCAAGAGCGGTACAAATCAGAAATACGCGACGGATACATAAGTTTATGAAAAATGCTAAAATACGGATATCTGTAGAACTATCAGAAGTACGCCCATTCAAGCGAAATAATTCTCTATTCAGGTCAACTTGTTCTTCTTTTTTTTTTTTCGTAAACACCTTGTTCGCATCTCATTTTGCTTTCGTTTTTGTTATTATTTTTTGTTTCCACGAAAAACTCTAAACATCTGTTGAATCTAGTCTTGCTTTGCACTCTATTTGAATTGAATGCGTTGATCAAAAGTAGGTGAGTGTCGAAATTGGTATGGTTATTTTGGTCTTCCGAATGTTTAATGAATTCAGAAAGTAAAAAAAAAAATTTCAAATGTTTCTTTTATTCATCAAATGTCGCTGAATAATATAGAAACAATTGAACCGTAGTAAAAATATGGGGTGTCTTCATAATATTTTATGGATATGTAGTGACTGGGCCCCAATAATCAACATGGAAATGAATTTTTACCTGACAAAAAATTGATCAAAATATAATGAGTGACCCCTCCATTAAAGGAGAGACTTGATTCCTAACATAAGAAAAAACTTCGGAATGTAGTTGTATAGAACTACAGTATTCACCAATTTAGTTGAAAAAAATATTTATTTCAGAAAGGAGAAATAGAAATTGTAAGCGTGGACTCATCTTTAGTGACACACATCTCTTCTGTAAGGTTATTCTGCCCCAATGACTTACGGTCTAGAGACAGCAGAAAGGGCATGTATAAAGCTGTCAAGGAGGTCAAGAAACGGTTTCCTGAAGGTCCTCCGTTGCTGAATCCTATCAATGATATGAAAATTAAAGATCCAGAGTTTGTGGATATTGTTAATAAAATAGAAATTCTAGAGAAAAAGTAAGTAGATTTAGTTCGTATCATAATTTCTTCTCAACATTTTTCATTCTTGAAATTGTGACACATACGTGATGTTTTTTTCGTGTTCAACTAGCTTCGGTAACTAACCAGAATACCTTTTTGCAAAGAAACGCCAAGATTATTATTGAAATTAAGATTATTACATTTTTTAAATTACTTCAACAGATAACAGTTGATTTCGACTTCGTCCACTGTTCAATTCCCAAAAGATTTCTTCGTTGTCTGACGGAATGAAAAGTAGTAACTGAATTTTTCCAAAGCCGAAAGTAATTGTAGAAAATAACCGAGAAAACTGACATATTTGTTGAAATCAACATCTTATGCTATAAAATACGTTCCATAGTGCCTGCTTGGTCAATGTTTGAGAAGACGTATATGATGATATAAGATAAACCAAGAAATTTGTATAAATACTACAATAAACTTATGTATTATGTCTTTGTTACCTGTAGCTGTAATTTGTATAATTCCATTCATCTAATGTTCGTTATATATTTCAAATAATTATGTAATTTATCTTTCTACATGTTGCATTGAAATTTTTTGAATGTATAATGTTGCTGTTTTTGTAGTAATGTCTTTAAAAATATTTTATTGAACTTATGTTTGTCATACATTAAAGTCATTTCTAGATGTAACACATACTTTTTTTTTTATTTCTACCATTCTAGTTGATTTGTATATTATTAGGATATCCTATTTAAATAAAGATCTATCTATCTATCTATACCTATATACCGTATATATACCTATATACCGTATATATACCTATATACCGAAAAGCAGATTATGTTCAGTTTTTCTTTTACTGTATTAGATTTTCGGCATGCTCCCTGCTACTTATTGATGTCATGTTCATATCATATCATATCAAATAGCTCCGCCTAGAACCACAATTTTCCTTGTTTTCGATAGGTCCATGCAATTCACTCCCCACATTGTTACCTCACAATAGAACTTGAGAATTTCACTTACTCAGAGGTTTTGATCCTTCCAGAGAATAACAGGTCAACTCTCAAACACTATATAAATAAATTCCACAAACTTCATCCACACCAGAAGTTCTATAATTTTTAAATTTGAAAAATCATTGGAAAATGAATTGTTTGCTTTTATGTTGTTCATATGTGTATCTACTATTGATTTAACTCCAAATAAAACAAGTTATATTATTTATTTGTAGAATGTACGAACATCCTATGAATAAAAATTCTTTATTGGATACCGAGTATCCAAAATATGAAAAAAAAGTTGTTGTCAGAGATGAACTTGCAGTTGCAAAACAAAAATTACTGGAAGCAAAATCTGTACTGCAGATGGACGAGTTGAAATGTCGAAAAAGAGTGTTGAGGAGGTTGGGATATTGTACAAACACAGATGTTATCCAGCTGAAGGGAAGAGTTGCATGTGAATTAAGCAGGTGAGTACTTTGAAAAAAAAAACATATTTGCCAACTGTTCTGCAGTATTGGGGAATTTACGATACATAATGAGGCTTCTTGAAAAAAAAATGCCAAGTTAATTCAATTGGTGATAGTTTTTTTTTTCAAAAAGTTTGCTTATTATCAATCAATTTTATTGGTAATAATGCCCATCGTGCTTTTGAAAAAGTTTGACCAATATCGATTTAGAAACAATTTTATATTAAAAAAAATAATATGTTGACACTAAATTGATAACGGTTTTAACTTGAATGTTGAATTTTTTATTTTAGCGCTGACGAATTATTGATCACTGAAATGATTTTCAATGGAGTGTTTGGAGTTTTGACACCTGCACAAGGATGTGCTTTGCTTAGTTGTTTTGTTTGTGATGAAAAGAGTTCAGAACAAATAAAACTATCTGAGGAGTTGTCAGGACCTTTGAGACAGATGCAGGTAAGTAACACTTTTTTCATTTCATTTTTAGAAATATTTTTATTTGTAATTATACTTGATAAGGTCATTTCCCTTGAGGAAAATTTCAATTTGCAGAAGCGTTTTGGTTTATTACTTTCTACTGCCTGAAAAAACCCAAAAGGTTGAAAAACTAGTTTCGTTAGGAAAAATGATCACAAATAATCAATCTGCAAATCGAATTTTGAATTTTGTCATTTTATAAAAGTTTAGATCATTTGTGAGCTAAATAATTACTTTATCACAATTATGACCTCGACTCCCTTTACGATACCAATAGTGTATATTAATTAATTTTCAAGGATTTGGCAAGACGTATTGCAAAAGTGAGTAACGAAGCTCGCCTACCTCTAGATGAGGAGTTATATGTTGAACGATTCAAGCCGTTTTTAATGGATGTAGTTTTTGCCTGGTGCAATGGCAGCCCTTTCAAAGACATATGTGGAATGACGGAGATTTTTGAAGGATCCATAGTAAGAGGCATGCGACGATTGGAGGAGCTCCTCAGGCAAATGGTACAAGCTTCCAAGACAATTGGTAACACTGATTTGGAAGATAAGTTCAATTCCGCCATCAAGTTAATCAAGAGGGATATTGTTTTTTCGTCCAGTCTTTATTTGTAATTTTGCTTTATTTTGTTTGTATCAATATTTGAAATTTTATTTATAAAGTTTTTGATTGTATGAACTTTATATGAATTAGATTTTTCAATAATTGAATCATCTGAAACATATTTCACATAAATTGCCTTCCCAGTACAAAATTACACTTAAAATGTCATTTGCCTAATCCCAACTAGCATATTTTTCTATAGAAATATTTTTAGAATCCTAACAATTGTGTTGGGTTAGGGTAATTCTGTGTACCTGCTGACCTTCTGAGAACCTCATTTGTCCCTTCCCTTCCTAGTGTTAACATTATTGTGATTAAAAGTAGTGTGCTCAGCTGTTCAACTTCAGTTAGTGCTTTTGCAGTTCAACCATTGTGTCGAAATTTGTAGTACCTAAGAATTTCCGAGTTTAAGTTACATGTATTATTGTACAAAGTTCAGTAAATTTTTCTAGCAAGTTTTATTACTTCTCGTGAGATTATTCTTGCACTTACTGACATTTGACAGTAGTACGGAATTATCTCACGTCCAGTGTTGAAACTTATCAAAGGATAGTGAAATCGAATTTGAGCAAATTAGGATACTTTGAGTTCGGTAAGTGATGTGAAACATGTAGCGTCAAACAATTGAACATTTTTTCTTGCTCCCCAATCTTTGGTGATCTAGCCGTGTGATGTTTTTCTTGTCATGCGGCTTTGTCACCAAGTTCGGGTGGCGAGATATCTGCTTTTTCAATTGAACGTGTAAGTAGTTGAACTCTGAAGAAAATTCCAGAAGAAACCATATAGATAAATTGGTTATTACAGTAAAGGAACTAATGGTGTGATTTGTTATTTTTGCATCATATCACAGCCATTAGTGACTTCATTGTGGTGATCAGATTCTGCAACGTATCAAAAATTGAACTATTAGCATATGGTTATTCAATACAAATTCAGTTTTCTACGGGTGTTCGGTCACAGTCACAGAAAATTTGACTTGTGACTAGATCGAACATTCGCAAGGAATATGAATTTTTCATCTTTACTTGATATATTCTGCTAGCAGTGTAAAATTCACAGATATGGATGTGCCATTTCATCCGTTGTTGATTTTGCTTTGATGGTTCTGAAGAATTCCATAAAGCTTTATCAGCAATTAATGACATGTCACTTGTCTTCGTAGATCAACCTTTGTTGAATAGCAATGTTGGCGTGTTTGCATAATCATCAATCCTGGTAAAAATTTTCAATTATTTATTTTCATTTATTCAATCCAAGAAACATACAAACAAAATTATACGCACAAATATTATATATCTATATTTATAAATGCAAAAGTCACTTAACACTCATCTCTGTATCTCCATACTGGTAAGTTCAGGAAGCTAAAATTGGGTATATAGATGCTTCTTAGGTCTTAGATGCCCACTAAAAAATTATTTTCAAATATGCCAACTGGGGCTCCGCCGTGGGGATAAAAGGGGAGCGTTTACATATGAAAATTACCTTTTCATCACTGTTTCTCCATATAGCTATATTTTCAGAGGATGTAATTCGTTTTATGTTATAGATGTGCGATTAGAAATAATTTTTAAATATTCCAACTTGCCCTTCCCTTGGGGATAAAGGGGTGCCTTTATATGTGAAAATTACCTTTTCATCACTGTTTCTCTGTACTGGTATATTTTTGTTTTCAGAGGCTGAAATTCTGTGTGCAGGTTCGTTTTATGTTGTAGATGTGCAATAAAAAAGGATTTTTAAATATTCCAACTGAGGCGCCAGCCGCGGGGGAAAAAGTTACCTTTTCATCACTGTTTCTCCGTACCGCTATATTTCCGAAGGCTTAAATTTTGTATGTGGGTTCATTCTATGTTGTAGATGTGCAACAAAAAGGGGTTTTTAAATATTTCAACTAGGCGCCAGCCGCGGGTGAAAAAAGTTACGTTTTCATCACTGTCTCCGTACCGCTATATTTTCGGAGGCTTAAATTTTGTATGTGGGTTCGTTCTATTTTGTAGATGTGCAATAAAAAGGGGTTTCTAAATATTTCAACTGGGGTGCCAGCCGCGGGGGAAAAAGTTACCTTTTCAACACTGTTTCTCCATACCGCTATATTTTTGGAGTCTGAAATTTTCTATGTAGGTTCGTTATATATTGTAGAAGTGCAATAAGAAAGGGTTTTTAAATATTCCAACTGGGGCTCCCCCTGGGGATAAAAGGGGATCGTTTACATATGAAGATTACCTTTTCATGACAGTTTTTCTGTACCGGTATATTTTCGTTTTCGGAGGCTGAAATTCTGTGTGCAGGTTCGGTTTATGTTGTAGATGCGCAATAAAGAAGGATTTTTAAATATTCCAACTGAGGCGCCAGCTGCGGGTGAAAAAAGTTACCTTTTCATCACTGTTTCTCCGTATCGCTATATTTTCGCAGGTTTAAATTTTGTATCTGGGTTCTTTCTATGTTGTAGATGTGCAATAGAAAAGGATATTTAAATATTTCAACTAGGCGCCAGCTGCGGGTGAAAAAAGTTACGTTTTCATCACTGTTTCTCCGTACCGCTATATTTTCGGAGTCTGAAATTTTCTATGTAGGTTCGTTATATATTGTAGATGTGCAAAAATAAAGGGTTCTTAAATATTCCAACTGGGGCTCCCCCTGTGGATAAAAGGGGAGCGTTTGCATATGAAGATTACCTTTTCATCACTGTTTTTCTGTACCGGTATATTTTCGTTTTCGGAGGCTGAAATTCTGTGTGCAGGTTTGATTTATGTTGTTGTAGATGTGCAATAAAAAAGGATTTTTAAATATTCCAATTAACTGAGGCACCAGCCGTGGGGGAAAAAGTTAACTTTTCATCACTGTTTCTCCGTACCGCTATATTTCCGGAGGCTTACATTTTGTATGTGGGTTCGTTCTATGTTGTAGATGTGCAATAAAAAGGGGTTTTTAAATATTTCAACTAGGCGCCAGCCGCGGATGAAAAAAGTTACTTTTTCATGACTGTTTCTCCGTACCGCTATATTTTCGGAGTCTGAAATTTTTTATGTAGGTTCGTTTTATATTGTAGATGTGCAATAAGAAAGGATTTTTGAATATTCCAACTGGGGCTCCCGCTGGGGACAAAAGGGGAACGTTCACATATGAAAATTACCTTTTCATTACTGTTACTCTGTACCGATATATTTTCGTTTTCGGAGGCTGAAATTTTGTATGTAAGTTCGTTTTATGTTGTATATATGAAATAAGAAAGGATTTTAGAATATTCCAACTGGGGTTTACATATGGGGAGCATTTACATATGAAAATTATCTTTTCATCACTGTTTCTCCATACTGAAAAATTTTCTTAGTCTGAAATTTTTTATGTAGGTTCGTTTTATCATGAAGATGTGCAATAAAAACGGATTTTTAAATATTCTAACTGGGGCGCAAGCCGCGGGGGAAAAGGGCGCGTTCATAAAATAAAGTCACCTTTTTATCACTGTTTCTCCGTACCGGTATATTTTCGGAGGCTGAAATTTTCTATGTTTATTCGTTTCATATTGTAGATGTGCAATAAGAAAGGATTTCCAAATATTACAACTGGGGCGCCAGCCGCGGGGGAAAAGGGCGCGTCTATAAAATAAAATCATCTTCTCGTCACTGTTTCTCCATGCCCTTGAATTTTAGGTGCGTGAATTTATATTTATTGTTCGGATTACTGGATTATAGAGAAAAAATCATGAAAAATTAATGTTTACTTGACATTTTTAACAACACACTATTCTCACGTCAAAACGACAGGTAATAAATATCATGTTTTTGGTGCAGTTTCAGTAAGTTACTATATATGTTGCTGAGATTATCAATGTCAGTTTTTTATTCACGCAATCAGAAGACATATTGATTTTGACCATTACAAGAAAAAGGCGCGCAGAAGTTTGTTGCCACGAGCCGAAGGCGAGTGCCGCAAGTCAAGCGAGTGAGAAATATGTCACTTTCTCACGCATTGTACACTGTACTTTTTCTCTATGGTTGCGTTGTTTTCAAGTATTGAAAATTAAAATACATATGTATATAACAATACTTGTATGTCATTAACTCATTTTTATATTTTACTTAAAATAGTAATTAACAGTTATATTTGAACAATTTTGTAAAGTAATTCCTGGAATGATCTATACTTTTTGAAATTTTCATTTTGTTAGCTATGGAGTTGTCGATATAAGATTCAGCAACATTGCTAGCAACATTGCTAGATTTCCAACCGCTAGATTTCCATACCTTTATCAGCAAATACTTTTTATCAGGTGCATCTTTTGAAAATTGTTGAATTTCTTCAGAAGTTAATGTTTTTGACTGTTTTGGAGCATATTTTTCAGAAGCAGTTTTACGTATTTTGATATATCAACACAGTTTTTAATAATTAAGGTACTCCTCAGCATCGAGTACTGAGGCCATAATGTTGATGATTCAATCTTCTTGACAACTCTTCAAAATAAACTAACAAGGTATTTTCGTAACAAGAATTTACCTTGGCTTTCAGTTTCCAGTCTAAATCTTCGTATTCTATTATATTCAATATTTAATAAATCTGGACTGTTTATACTATAACAATCAACACTAAAACTACACACATCGGAAAAGTCTAGGGATATTTTTAAAAATGGCAATAATTTTTTTTTAGATCGCTTTAGGAAAAAAAAAGTTGACGGGTGATTATTAAACGAATGTAACNGCTTTCACGAGACCGAAAGGATTTTCAATGAATGTTTTCCGAATCGTCCTATCTGTAGAAAATATTTGAGGGAACTTGTATCCAAATTCATAACTACGGGTAGTGTACATAACAAAAAGCCCCCGGGTCATCCGTCCATTACGGAAGAACAGCAAGTGCAAATAATTGGTGAGATGGTAGTAAATCCTGAAGAGTCTACTGATTCTGTTGCGGATGTTTGTGAGGTGTCTCCTTCTGCTGTGTGAAGACTTTCGAAGAGGAATAGGTATCTTCTATACAAAATTACTGGAAAAGTTTAATATTTGCATTCCTAGAATCTGTTCCAGATACCCGAGTACTTTCTATATAAAAACATCTCGACAAATGGTCTGGAGAATTCTCCAATCTATACCATGTGTAAAGTGACAAATTCTGTTAGCGATAATTTAGATATATTTAGTTGCAGATTGTCAAATATAAAATCCCACTTCCTAAAATAATTGTTTTGTCACCTATAATAAATATAAAAAGTGTAATCTTTATAGTCACTTGTCTGTATTGTTTGTAGTGTTTGTAGACTTTACAGTCACTTGGTTGTGATGTATTTATTATACTCTGTTATTTCCTGCTCTGTAATTGGGATATGTCCTGTAGAGTATTGTATTACAAATAAATAAATAAAATTAAAATGGTACACTAGTTAACTGAAGATTACCCTGATCGAAGAACAGAATTCTGCGAAATCATGACGGAAACCATTGCAAGGCATCCTATCTATCTCCACAATATTTG